AGGAAGCTGCCACTCCCCAACCCCCAACAACTGTAATTCTTGGTGGGGTACTGAGTTGTTGTTAAAAGTAGTCAAGTTGGTTCCGACTCATAGCGACCCAGTATAGGGTTTCTGAGGAGCAGCTAGTGGATTTGAACTACTGACCTTGTGTTTCAAAGTCCAGTGTTAATCCTACAGTAGCACATCAGGAGCCCTTATTCCACATTTCAGGGATCCAAAGGCCATTCCTACACATATTCTCCTGGTTTCTGTTTATGAATATTAGAACACTCAAGCAATTCTTTCTAGATCACAATTTGTACTTCACCTTCTGGGGCTTGCTGGCACTTAAGTCTAGTTATAAGTCTAGAAGCAATATTGGTGGTGTTTCCTGGAAACATTCATCAAAATCTTGCAAGATACTTACTTGAGGTGATGTCCCAGACATCATCTCAGCAGGCACGGTTGGGTTAAGGTCGCTCGACAAGTGTGTGCACAGTGATCCTTTCAAATGGGAGGGGTGGTGCTGCTGGCAAGAGTGATTAAATGGAATTTATAGACTCCCGGTCCACAGCTTCCTGATTACCTGTCTATATGTCTCCATTCCAAGTTTCAGGATCCCATTTCTTCCTATCAATGCCCTCACTGTAGCATTAGATACCCTTCAAGATACGCAGAAGGCCCCCCAAAAGTGCCATGTGGAGCAGATGCTGATTAGCTGGCCATGCAATGGCTGGATCCCTAAGACCCACCAAAGAGGCACGGGCAGGACAGCTGCCTAGGAACAAAAGACCAGATAAAGCCCAACCCAGATACAGGGAGATCCTCAATTCACTCTTTTGGGCCTCAAACAACAGGGGGTTGTAAAAGCCAGGGATGATAGTGTTGACTGTCTAGCAGACAAAGATCATATCAGGAATCCCAAGATGATGAAAATTATCTTAGAGGAAAGATCCAGGAAATTCTTGACATGCTTGTCCCCTATACAGGCGGCACACTTGGCCCCCCATGAGGTAGACCAGCAGGCCAATCAGTGCCACCAGGATGAAGATGACACAAGGATGCTAGTGGCCTATAGGCCTTGGGGCAATGCTAGCAGCTAGTCATACACCTTACACTGTATCTGGTCCATGCTCTGCATCATGCAGGACACCCACATTTCCTGGGCCACCATAGTGGCAGCATGCAGGAGACCAGTGCATTCACCCAGCCAAGTGCTGTTAGGATGAGCCCCAGACCCTGCAGACCAACATAGGCCAGAGGCTGTTGAAGAGAACAGAAACCCCTGGGAGGCAGCAGTCTCTCTCTCTTTTTTATTTTCTGATCCAAGAAATGTCCCTTATTTTTTTATAGGCTCTGCTGTGCACTGAACCCAATATACCTAAGTGTTTTGGTATTGCCTAAACCTGAATGAGCTCTGGTAGCAAAGTGGTTACGAATCGGGCTGCAAACCTTAAGGTCAGCAGTTCAAACTACTAGCCGCTCCACAGGAGAAAGATGAGACTTTCTGCTCCCATAAAGATTTACAGCCTTGGAAATCCTGTACAGGGTTGTTATGGGTCGGAACTGACTCGACGGCACATAACAAGAAACCTGAATGATTGCTTTTTCAGGTAAAAAATACTAATAAATTATTTTTTAAAACTAAAACTTGTCTTAAACTAATCAGGAATGGTAGGAGAAAGGGAAGAATATTAAGAATTACAAATTCTACACCCCTTTTAAAACTTGTTTTTATTCTCACCCATACTTCCTAAATTGCATGTACTGTTTCAGCCATAAAGACATGTTGTCCTCAGTCCAAAACGAAAGGATTCTGACTGTTCAATTGTGATTCATGAGAGTAGGGTCACATTACAAACATGACTGTGAAAAACAGTTTGGCAGTCCCTCAAAAAGTTAAACATAGGATTATCATTGTTGTTGCTGTTGTTAAGGGCTGTCGAGTCAGTTCCAACTCATAGTGACCCTGTATAGGGTTTCTGATGGGTGGGTCTGAACCACCAGTCTTGCAGTTAGCAGTCCAGTGTTTATTGCCACACCATTACTTCATGTTGCTGTTGTTGTTGTTAAGTGCCATGCAGTCAGTCTGACTCATAGCAACTCTGTATAAGGTTTCTGAGGAGCAGCTGGTGAATTTGAAGCATTGACCTTGTTTTTCAAACTAACCTTGCAGTTCTGTGCTTATCTTACAGCACTATACCAGGACTCCTAGATATATACTGATAAGATTTGTAAGCAGGGACTCAATCAGCTACTTGTACAACAATGTTCTTTGTAGCACTATTAACCATAGTCAAAAGGTAGAAACAATCCAAGTGTTTATCAACAGAATAGACAAAATGCAGTATATGCATACAATGGGATATTATTCAGCCTGAAAGAGAAATGGTGCTCTGATACATGCTATGGCACAGATGAACTTTGAAAATAACATGCTGAGTGAAATAAGTCAGACACAAAAGAGCAAATATTGTATAATGCCACTTACATGAATTATCTAGAATAGGCAAATGCACAAAAACAGGTTTGTTAGCAGACAAGGAGCCCTGGTAGCTTAGTGGATTACGAGCTGGATTTCTAACCAAAAGGTTAGCAGTGTGAGTCCACCAACTGC